AGCGGGCCGGGCGCGGGGCCGCCGCTCCGGGCCCGGGCGCTGCGGCAGCTCCGTCAGGGCAGCGCCGGCACCGGCTCCCTGATCCCCACCCCCGCCTTGCACCCGGGCTCGATTTTGGACACCTCGTGACCACAAAACCCATGTTGCCTTCTCAAAACGATTTTTCCGCTTTGTTTTTCACTGAGGTGCACTAAGGTTTAATAGACCCGTAAGAAAAGCAGGTAGTGGGTGAGGTTATCGCGGCGATGGTTAGTGCGGAGAGAAGGTGGGAAGCACATGGTGCCCGGAGGCCTCTCCTTGCTCCGATTCTTCTCTTGCGTTGCTGCTGCCTGATCTGTGTCAGCGATGCCCTGTAGTGCACTGGAGCTCCTTTCTAGAGTAGAAAATGCTTTACTCAATTGCTCTGGTTTCCCTTTCTGGCAGCAGCAACAGCAAGTCCTTGTACTGGGTTTCTTAGATGTGGGAAAAAAGTTTGCAGTGTATTTTTATTTGCGGCAGCCTTTTGAATTAAGATCCTTGTTCTGATGCGTGGTTTAGGCAGTGAGCAGGATGTCCTATATTGCAATGCTGTAAGTACATAAGCATGTGCACATAAGCAAGTGCACTAGTAATTTTAATTCCTTGATCATAGAAAGAGAAACTTTCACTTGTTAAAAAGGGAAATATAGACTCTAAAAAGATATTCTATATCAAGTGGAAGGGCGACTTAAAACAGGAATAGTTGATTTCATGAGGACAGAGCCCCAGATAGCTCAAATGCTAGATGTGAGGTGAGATGAGATCTGGCCTCTAATGTGGATTCTGGTCCAGGGGCCAAACCTGATGTCATCTCATGAGGAGGGAAAACTTTTGAAGGTCTTGTAATAATACTGATTTTAAAAAATAATCTCTTGAAGGTCTGTTCTTAGTATAATGAAGTCAGAACTATTCGTATTTATAGGAAAAGTCAAATGTAGCATGAACTTAGGAGCATCTGAGGACATTTGGGAAGCACATGAAAAAACGTTATTTATCGGAATGTAATTTCAATTCTAGAATCTTCCATGTGAGGTTTTTTCTGATACAGACAGGCCTGATGCTTTAGTAATTGAATTTGCCAATATTGTCTTCTGGTTTAGATGTAAAATGTACATCTTTCAGTCAATTCACTATTTTAGGTGAATTCTGGGAGCCAGGTCCTCTAGGAAGGACTCAGCTCCGTTTTCTGTTCGGTTGGTCTATTTGTTACATTAGTTAATTTCTGTTACTTTGAAATCAGTGCAGTGGAAATGGCAACAAATGGTGCTTGAAGAAAGCGGAACCCTCTCTCTGTAGGGGTTGCCACGGCTTCCATACATTTACGCTGGAATGTTGAAAAGCTCATCAGCCTGTGTTGTTTAGTGCTGGACTATGGCCTGGAGTTCGTGTTTCAGACACTGATTGTAATATATAAACGTCATATCAAACTTATTCTGTGTCTGAGGGAAGAAAGGGCTTTTCAAAAATGTCCAAACCCTTTCATTTCCTGTTGTCACATGACAAAAATCTAACCACTGTGCTTGTCAGGCCTAAACCAAACGCCAAGTTTACATGGTCTTTTGCTATGCAAATGAGAGCAATTATGTATTAACTTAGGACATTATTACACACATACTCGGTGTGTATTTAGAGAGAGTTTCTGCTCGAACTGATTTGCATTCCCAAAGCATTGCACAACAAAAAAGTCAGGAGACCATGGTAGAGCCGGCTCTGTCTCCTGTCACTTGCAGAGCCCTTCATCTGAAGGCATAGAAGGCTTAGCACTGACTTCTAAAGAGGGGGTTTCTTTGTGCAGCTTCTCCCTGGTCCTCTCCTGTTTGCCTGCTTACAAACACGGGTTAAAAGATTTCTAAAGAACATACAAAATGATGTAGATTTTTACTAGAAACATAAGTAAACAATTCCTCTAATGTTATGCTAAGCAGAAGACTGCCATAACTTGTTTACAGTTTCAGGTTAATTTCTTTCTATCAGTATCACATGATATTATTTTGATGGCTGGACATCAATAACTGACACTTTAAAAATAAAAATTTGGGGTTTTTTTCAATGTTCAGTTTTAATGAGTAAGCATAATCCAGAAACCTTATGTAATACTCCTTTAAAATTAGAAGCTCAGGTTTATCTATGTTCAGGTTTAAAGGTCGTGAGTATATAATTCAGTGGTTACAGTACCATGTTATTTTTTCTTTTGCAGTCTTTCATGTATGTCTGCTTTAATGGGAGAGTCAAGGCTGTTAGGATGACACATGTTGCCACACCTGGCAAAGATTTGAGTTGTCCTCCACCTCTTTCCACTTGATTTATAAACTAGAACCAGCATTAAAGCTATTTATTGTGTTGATTATGCTGTTTCATTATATTTTTTAATATTTAAATATCTTTTCGACATTATATAGAATGATAGTAGTTGTGATACAGCCAGGCATCTAATGCAACTTAGATTAAAGGACTTCATGTAAAAAGAATTGTCAAATAATATACTTTATTTGGGTTTAAGATGTAGTCTTTGATTATCATTAAAAGCAAAAGGTCAGAAATGGCTGAAAAAGACCTTCATGCTTCAAGGGGAGATGGACTAAAGACGTGAGTAATTTCAAGAAAGCCTAGGGAAGACTGAAAACTAGAATTTCCAATTTCAAGTGTTTAACAATCATAGTTTGGGAAGAAAAGCAGTTATGTGCTTATGATTCTTTCAATTTTCTGTCTGAATATTAATTCTAGTGCAAACCTAGAAACAAAGCACAGTCCTTTTGCTAAAACATTTCCTTTGTGGCTCTTGCATGTGCTGCTCCTGCTTCTACAGCCAAGCATCCCAACCAATGTTTTAAGACAAGCCAGTATATCCTGAACAGGGTTACTTGTACATCCTCTCCTTTTGCCCCTTTGGGATTGGAAGCCATTCAAAATCCTCATGGTGAGGAATAACCTTGCTTCCAAATGCAAAAAAGGATGCAAGAACATGCAGTCAGCATCTCATTTAAGCTTACAGGCAAATTACACCCGAGCAACCTGATTGCCTTGTTATAGAGTCAGTCATTTGGGCAGAAGGGAGAGCAGGGAATGTCAGTCACCCTGACTTATGCAAGGGTCTGGCAGCATTCTTCTGGCCAAAAGGGAGAGGTATGGCCTGTGACCTGAGTGGAAAAACTGGCTGGATAGTTGGGCTTACAAATGGAGGTGAGTGATTTAGTCTAATAGGTGGCTAGTGATAAAAGAGGTTGGCTTTTGAGGTGGATGCTGTTAGGCACCATCAGTGATGCAGGCAGTGCAGTTGGACACAGGAGCCATCAGGCTTGTAGGTGACACTAGCTGAGGAACAGACAGACTGACAAGCTGGGGTAAGGAGAGATCTTTTCACTCCCTTTCAGTGGTGAGAAACATTCATGTTGAGGACAATCAGGTACAGGTTGTATTGTTTGTTTTGGTTTGGTCTAGTTCCTCAACTTTTTGATCACAGAATTGATGGTTATTCCACAGGTAAATTATAGATCCAAGCACAACCAGCAACTGTCTGTGTTCAGGTTGGATAGTATGGGACAGTCACAGCCTTTATTTGGATCTCACTGTGGAGGAAATGTGTATACCTGGACAGCTGTTTAATACCAGTAATCTTTACCCTTTCTCCTTAGGGATGTACCATAGTGAGCCCAGTAGTTTCCCACAGTTTCAACATTTAACATTGTCCATCTCCCTTGGCCCTTTCCTTTCTGAAAATGTATTAAGCTGGAGAGAGGCTGACAGTAGGAGAAAGGCTGATCTTGGATATCTGTAAGATTCTTGGGCATGCAACATGTATCATTCCTTTAAATGTTATTGGAGGGTTTATAAAATTTTCAGTAATGAAACCTGAAATAATGCTATTTGTGTTGGAAATCCCATTATATTTTAATTTTTCTCTTCTAACTTGTCATGTTCATGTCTTGGTTCTTTGATTGCTACAGACCCGCTCTTTGCTGGGAGTATTTGAAGAAGATGCTGCTGCAATATCCAATTACATCAATCAGTTGTTTCAAGCCATGCACAGAATATATGATGCTCAGGTAGTGTTAATGAAATTCTTGAATGCATTATAAAGCTTTAGAACCACATTTCATGTTTCTTGCTTTTTTTTGACATTATGATGAACAATATGCTTTTCTTTAACTTCCATATGCTTTAAACATAGAAGTGAAGTAAAGTAAGAATTAGTTTTTATTTTTCTGTATGTTAGGGAGTGGTAAAGACTAAATTCTTGTAATTTTTCATGCAACAGAATTTCTTATAACAAATGAAATTATGTTCTCTGTTCTCCAAATAGCTTTAGCAATAGCAAATGTATTTCCCAAGTGTTTCTAAAATGTTTGTGTATAATAATATGTATCAAATTAGAGGTAATTTTTTTACCCACAGTATATTAATGTTTCACTCATCCAGAAATAACTCCACTTTGATGTCAGAAACATAATCCATTTTGTAAGTTTTTCTAAAAATTTGAGTTTGTGGCTATATTTTAAATTTAAATATATTTTAAACTTTTTATTGATTTTCATGTTTCCCTTTATTTTTTTATCAGAATGAATTAAGTGCAGCAACTCACCTGACTTCAAAGCTTCTGAAGGAATATGAGAAACAGGTACTGCTTAAATCATGTTGTCTGTGTGTGGTCAGGACTGTGTATTTTTGTAGTCTTTTATCTCCCAGAGCACAGTGTAGAATGTATTTAGGTTTGGTCCAGATAAAATGAACTGCTGTGGTTGGTGGTTCAAATCATTGCCAAAAGAATCTACTGTCTTAATTTTAGTTCTTCCAACTAAACCAGAATGAAGTTTCTCTTACCACGATGAATATTAATAACTTCTGAAGTATTTTACTTTTGGATTAGTTTTTTTAGAGAATTGCTTAGAATAGTTCTGTTTTGTTTTTACTTTATAAACCTTTTTACTCTTAAGTGCTGAAATAGTCACAAAGAGAAGAGACTGCATTGCAATCTCCAAATTACAACCATAATTTATTCTGCAAGCATAATTCCATCTCTGAAAGCACAGACTGCAGAATCCATATCCATCTTCTCTTGTTACCTGTACTATGGAGGGTTCTCTGTAGCTTTGCTTATGGGTCCCCTTTTCTGAGGTTAAAAATGTTAAAAACAAAAATTGGCTTCTTTTAAGAGGCTGCTACTCCCTATCCTCCTTTTCCACCTAATAAGGTGAACTGCTTCAGTGTATCTTAACTGTGCAATATTTTAAAATAATGGAGTACCTGATATAGAGATGATTCATCCAGTTTTGTGAATGGCAGAAAACACTGCAAACAACATAACTCTTTTTGCCTTTTCAGCGTTTTCCACTTGGGGGAGATGATGAAGTCATGACTTCAACTCTGCAGCAATTTGCAAAAGTGATTGATGAGGTAAGTGCTTTGCTAATGCTGTCAGACTTTAACTGCATAATTACTCTGTTTTAAGGCAGGAGATACAGAAATGGCATTCATTCATCAACAAGGTAACAATTAATTGTATATTGCAGCATCTATTTAAAGTTATGTAACCTTAAGATAAAGAATAAATTCAGCAAAATGAGGATACATTGCTGACAAAAAAATGTAGTTTAACTGCTAGAGATAGAGCCAAAACCATCACACAGTGTCAGTTAGCAACTATGTACCTGAGGGTATCTGTATTAACTGATTTCAGATACCTGACTGACAGATGACCCTCCTGCTGTCTCTCTTAGACACTGACTCATAGGACACACAGCTGAGCACCATTAAGAGCTGAATCAGGATTTTTGCTGTGATCCCTCTCCTCCTAAACAGCATTTTAGGAGGAGGATCACATTTTATTCTACCTCTATGAGGTGTGAAAGATGGGCTGTGATGTAGCTGGAGGGAAACTGAAGAAATAAACTGACTAGTCAAGATAAAAGCCAGAATGAGGCTGTTTTTGGACATGATCCAGTAACTTGGAAAAGTTCAGACAAAAACTAAACTCTAAAGGTTTTCCTATAAAAAGCTGATGATGACATCTGAACTCTAGAAAAAAAGTAGCTGCAAAAAAAAAAAAACATGCAAAACTGTGTTTGAGTTGTACATGTTGTCTTTGAGTGACATTGATGTCCACCTATTGTGATTTGATTTGGTGTCAGCACTGCTTTCCTAAGATTTTCTTCTTTTGTCTTTTTCAGCTCAGCTCTTGCCATGCAGTACTTTCAACTCAGCTTGCAGATGCAATGATGTTTCCTATTACCCAGTTTAAAGAAAGGGATCTAAAAGGTAGGGGACCAAATACTGTTTTTTATCAACAGCAGCAACAATAAAAACATGGCATTTAATCTTTTTAGCTCTTGTTTCACTAAATAGAATACACAAGTTATTTTTCAGCTCTCAAAAGTATGCATCTCCCCATTTAAAAAGAAAAGTAAGTTATTTCTATTTATGAGAGTATTACAGTTGAACTTAACATTGTTATTGTTTCAAAAAAAATATTACTTATATTAGAGAAGCACTTATCTTCTTTTCAAGATGAACAATTAGCAGCTACTCAGAAATGTTAGGAAAGAATAATTTTAAGGAAAGATTTGTGTATCTGATCATAATATCAATATAATTGCTGGACTAAGCTCATAAGGCAAAGTGCCAAAGCTGTAGTACTTACTATATTTAGATTCAGTAATGTGGTTGTTCAGCCCTGCTGGTAGCACTGGTGACTTCTTATGTGCAGACATAAGATGCTTCCAGTTTCTTATTTTTGTAATAATTGTATCGTGTGCCTGATTTAAAATAACATCTATGTGATGATAGATTTTACTCAAGATACTGGAGTGAACAGACTGCTGTGGCAAATGGACTTCCAAGTAGGAATTATAAGAGTTAAACCCCAAGTAACTTAAATATTCCTACTGTGAACCTTCTAGAGTGGGTATACTTAAGATATGAATATCTGAAGTCTAAATTGAAATAAAAATTACAAGTCTTCCATTAGTCTATTAACTCTTCATGAAGCTTGGAAAATATTTCTTTGGCAATAGTTCACAGCAAAATTATGGATTGAAAAGATTATGGTTTGTTTTATTTTTTGGGGCAAGGGATCATGACTATCCCAAGGCTGATATTACTTCTAAGGACCTGAAAAATCTCCTGTTAGTACTCACTGAAGAGGCATCCCTGAGGCAATAATCACAAGTTAAATTTTCCTTCTGAAAGATTTAGCCACCAGCTGGTGTAGTTTGTAATGACTCTTCACTTCTTTATGGGCTTCATAGGCACTTCCTGGACAGTTTTTTTGTATTTGCTTTACCATAAAGAAGAGCATGGCTGTCTGCTGGTTTGTATTGTAATATGGCACAAACCACAACCAAGATCAGAGCAGGTGTAAGGTACTGTGGTGTTTCCAGTTCCTGACACAGTGAGACAATAACCAGCTGGAACTCAGCTCATTTTAGCTAGGAGGAGTCCCAATGTGTTTTGGGCTTTGATATTACCCATCTACCATGCTTCCATTTCTCCAGCTCAAACCAGAGCCCAGACTGGAACTACAGGTGACACAGTTGTATTGATGATGAGTTTCAAAGACATTTGAAAATAAATTCCTTCTTACAGTATTACAGTACAGTGGTTTTTTTGGTTTTTTTTTAAGCACTGAAATGATCCTCAGGCCACTGGTAGGAGCAGACAGACTTGCCTGGCCATGTAATGCTTGTGCTGGTAGCTCAGGAAGGTACAAGGTGTTACCTTCAACTGCTCAGCAGTGAAACATTACATGAGAAACTGTCATACGTGACTGTTACATTATTGACAACTTATTTAAATTGTGATATGTTGTGGTTTTTTTTAGAGATATTAACTCTAAAAGAAGTTTTCCAAATTGCAAGTAATGGTAAGTGTAAAGTACTTAATCTTATCAGTATTACAAGACAACAGTATTATTGTAGATTATTATTTGTACTTAACTAGTGGAGTTAAGCCTGTAGGCTTAAAGTAACTAATTAAGGTGTAATTTTTCTGAGTGATGCTTAGGCACTCAGCTTTCCCCGGTTCACTTGTAAATCCCTGCTTTGTGTACTGAAGCGTTAAGGCAAATTGAAAGGGTTTTTTACAACATCTTAAGTGTATGTATGATTATTAAATAATGTAGGATTATGCCACCAAAATTTCAAAAAGAGTAAGGTGCTAGTTCGCTTCTTAAAGTCAGGACTTGGTCAATAAAAAATTTGCACACCTAAAATGAATTTCATAGTTCTCCCTATTTTCAGAAGTTATGTTTTTAGCTGCCTCTAATATATCCTTGTAGAGAACTTACTATTTAAATAAGATTCTACTTCTCTCAGTGAAAATTGTTTCATTGCTTTAGAAGCAAAAAAGATAATATAGTTTTTCATAATGTAAAGTTTCTCTACTTAATGGACAGTTCTTCTTTGAAAAATAGTGCATGTTTAGGAAACTTTGTGACAACTTGGTAACATTTGCATCTGGTTAGAATTTTTCTTCAGCCCAATTATTTGTTGCAGTGAAATGATTATAAACAGACAAGAACAATTCCTCAAGGTGTTAATATGCCAGAACTTTGCATTCAGCTGTCTGTGTAACATTTTGATATAAAAGGTTTTCTGCTCTGTTTTTAAGTCGTTAACTTTTGAAAATGATAATAAATTCTCTCTTGATTTCTTAGACCATGATGCTGCCATTACCAGATACAGCCGGTTGTCAAAAAGAAAGGAAAATGAAAAGGTTTGTAAAACAAAATCTTAATATAAAGATTTTCAGAGAAGAAATAATTTTCATTTTATATATATGTATGATGGAACACAGTGTATGGTAGATTCTGTGTGACATTTGATAGTTTATGCTTTAGCAGTCTAGATAGAAAAGCAGATTTCTCCAATACATGCCTGTCCTGTAACACTGACAATGCTTTAGGAATAATATTATGATACCATATTCAGTCTGTTTTTGTGAAGAAATAACCACACTTTCCAGGTAGAGAAGAATGCTGTATTTATTTTTCATGTATCTCATGTTTAAATTAGAGAAGCAGAATTGCAAAGTAAAACATGCAGCAGCTGGTGATAGAGGGTACAACATGACTGTGGGTTTTTCCATGCTGGCTATAAAGCTGACCAGAAGGCATGTGATCAATGCCAAGTCTTAAACATTCCTTCTTTTCCCTCCCCTTGTCTTTGTCTCTTCAGATCAAGGCTGAAGTTACAGAAGATGTATATACTTCAAGGAAAAAACAGCATCAGACTATGATGCATTATTTCTGTGCATTAAATACTCTCCAGTACAAAAAGAAAATTTCTCTTCTAGAGCCCTTGCTAGGATACATGCAAGCTCAGGTAATTTCATATTCTGAAAGCAGGAGGTCTGAAAGAAGATATAAAAGTACTTTATGAAGGTTGATGTAGTGAAACCCATTGCAAGCCCTCTTCTGCAGTCCAAGGATGGAAACAGAGAAAAATACCCCCCCATCCACATCTCTGAGCTGCCACAGCTGCTGCCCTGACTGTGCCATTAGTTATCACTGGTCATTGCCCACTCACTGCAGGAAGCTCTTCATGAGATGCCCTCACTGCCATCAGAGAGTCTTTTAGCAAAATCTGAGTGAAAATATAGCGGTTAATTTCCCCCCAAAACCCAGATGGCTGGATTTCATGTAATGCCTAGATTTTCACTTTTGGGCATTTGATTCCAGTAAATGGAAGAGCTGATTAGAGCTTTCATTCAAGTCCACATAGAAGTGAACCTTCTCAGTGAGTAACATGGAGACAGTTAAACCCATTCCTGTGGCACCTGTTCTGAAATGAGATAATCATCAAAAACTATATAACTACTGTTTTCAATCAAGGCTGTGAAAGAGCCAGAATGCTAAAAAACATTCTGGTTTGGTTTTGCTTAATATTAATAAGTTCATGATTGGTTTACTTGAGGATGGGTGCTACAGAAAATACAACTATGATAAAGTTACTTGGACAGACTTAATTTGCAATTTCGGAAGTATGTCATTAAGCATGGGCTTAATGGGTTTTTTTGCAAGTCAAGCTATCCAGCATCTGGCACTGCTACAGTGACCTGAGTAGAAATTAACTTCTGCACACTGTCTGAAAACTTTGGAAAGGCAAGAACTCTTGCTTTCTTTTGAAACTTTGCAGCTTGTATTTAAGAGCCAAGTTGTGCATGTTTAGTGTAGTAAAGTAGAGCAACCTGTTGCTTAGTGGAGCTTCTTGCTGAATCTAAGAAACGGAAGGGCAGGGCCACGTCCCAGGGCTTCCTGTTCTGAGAGTTCTCATGACTAACCTCAATTTAGCTGTGGCAGATTATCTGGCCCATTGTGGAGTACCCTGTGCTTAAAATACATATTGTTAGTTCTCTGTGGATGGCCCTGGACAAATACTCACAGTTTTTTTCTCTCCTGTGTGCCCCAAATAACCCCCCATAACAGAATGGTGGGCTTGAAAAAGGACAGAGAGACCTTGGGAGTTTTTCCAGGGCAGTTCCTGTGTGCTTCTGTGTTTCCTCCAGGCAGCTCTGTTCACATCCTTGTGACACAAATCCCAGTGCAGTGCCAGCAGCAGCCTTCACCTGCAGCCACAAACACACATTCTGCTGCTTTTAGTAAGAGGCTTTGGTGGGAATGAGGATGAAAAGAGATTTCTCTGAGAAACTTCAAACTCCTATGACTTCATCTGTTAATTGTTAGTGTAGTTTTATTAATGTCTAAATTCTCCCTTTTCCTCTTTTTTTTTTAAAAGATAAGCTTTTTTAAAATGGGTTCAGAAAATCTTACTGAGCAATTGGAAGAATTTTTGACCAATATTGGCACGAGTGTACAGAAGTAAGTTGGCTTTGTTGAACTTTGAACTTGAATCAGTATTATTTTTTCTGTTTCTATTTAGTAAGAAATTATCTTCGTTAATAACACATTTTTTATCTTAGTGTTCGCAGAGAAATGGATTGTGAAGTAGAAAACATGCAACAAACTATAGAGGATTTGGAAGTAGCCAGTGATCCACTCTATTTGCCTGATCCTGATCCTATTAAATTTCCTGCTCATAGGAATCTAACACGGAAAGCTGGCTATCTCAATGCAAGAAAGTAAGAGTAACTTATTATTTTAAAATTCCAGAGTATATTTAATTTTGGGAAAGGGAAGTTAGAGAAGCCAGTTTTTTAAATGTTAGCTATGCTGATTTTATAAATTTAGTTCAATAAGTCACGTAATAGCTATTCTGTTTCTTTCTTTGGACTTCACCTAATTAGTGTTAAATCCATTGTTACACTGACAATGTCATTCAGGTGCAAAGTATAATTGTCCTGATTTTAGTCTAATTTTGCCTGAATTTTCACAGTTAAAAAATGGGTTTGAGAGTGTAATTTTTCTGCATCCTAACTGGGAAGTAACAAGATTCCATCTATGAGGATTGTTCTGAAAGTGTCTGTTAAAGCTTTGGGATTCAAGTTACTAATAAAACATAATAATTTTGATCTAAACAAGGCAAAATATCTGTTAACCAAAATACCCTTGTAAGGAACTTCTGGATTCCATGCAGCAGTGGCTTGTGCACAGGAAGGAGCTGTGCATCCAAGGAAGTCCAACAGCTGTTTGTCAGAGCTATTAATAATAAATTGTAACATTTAGATTCTTTTACTGTAATTTATAAGCTCCAAGGAATTAAAAAAAAAAAAAAAAAAAAGCTGATTACTTTTACAACAGTTAAAGTAAAATACTGAATGAGGCATGAATTTCTGTATTAGAACACAATTGCAGCAGCTGATATTATAGAGTGTCTGAGCAAAAAAGAGAGGCTAATTGAGGATTTCTTTTATCTTTTAGTAAGACAGGGCTGGTGTCTTCCAGTTGGGAGAGGCAGTTTTACTTCACTCAAGGTGGAAATCTGATGAGCCAGGCAAGAGGTGATGTGGCTGGGGGACTTGTCATGGACATAGACAATTGCTCTGTGATGGCTGTGGACTGTGAGGACAGACGGTACTGTTTTCAGATAACATCTTTTGATGGCAAAAAGTGAGTGGTCTTATATTGCTGTTTCCTGTTAGAAATAGTAGACTCACAAACTGGGAAAAGAAAGATGGTCTGCCTTTGGCCAGATGTTAGCTTGATCTGTTTTGTGGATATTTAGAAGCAAAATCTGGGATATCCTTTTAATTGTGTAATGTCTGGATTTTTGTTCATAAACTATAATGTAGCTGAGTAGTATTTCATAATAAGATTATCATATTTGGTAGACAATCACATATTATTGCATTTTGTGAATACTTAAATGTTACATAGACACAATTAGAATTGTGTTGCTTTTCTGTTTCCTGTTGAAAGGAAAGCATAGGTTCCTCCCCATCCTAATTAAATGTTGACTGCACTCAGCACAAGCACAATCTTCAGGCTTTCATAAATCGTTGTTCAGTGTGTAAATATGAAAATGCAATTTCCTGGCTGACTGTATTTGTGAGGCATTTTAAATACACAAAATTGTGATTTCCATTCTCCTCTTTCAGGTCTTCAATCTTACAGGCAGAAAGTAAAAAAGATTATGAAGAGGTAAGCTTATAGGAGGTGTGCATGGAGCTCAGTGATTTTCTGCTGCACAGAAAGAATGCATTCCTAACCATAGCTGGATACTGCAAATTTTTTCTGTTTCTACTTATTAATAAATTGTCTTTGCTAGTAATACCTTGTTTATCTTAGTGTTCCTGTTAGTTTCCTCCTTCAGATAAAAGTTGAGAAGCCAGGAACAGGAGCAAATAGTTTTCCAGAGCAGAGAGAGAGTGCAGGTTCTAGCTTGCAGGTGCAAGAAATGAGCAAATTCCACAAGGGCCAAACTGAATTTTTATAATGTCTTGAGGAAACAATGTCATCTGCATCACAGAATAAAGAAGAACAGAGAATCCTGATAAGGTTTTTTTTAATTCCTTAGAGTTGTGAGTTAAGCTTTCTTTAGTTTAGCTGTAGTATGACTAAAATAACTTTTGTGAGTAAAATCTAGAAGTGCAAGGTGCAGTATGCAGGTGCCAGTGAGTTTATTGACAGGCTGGGTGTGCAGAATATTTGGCTCCCTGAGTTTACAAAGGAAGTAGAAAAAGTGCTGAAACTAGCAACTCAGGTATTCAATCAAGTTTGTTTAGAAAACATGACATGAATTTGTTTTCTTTTTTCTTCCTCTTTTTCAGTGGATATGCACCATAAACAACATATCTAAGCAGATATATCTAAGTGAAAACCCAGAGGTAACTTCACTAAAATTCATAGTTATCAGTAATATGTTAACATTTATATTTATAGCGTAAATTCATATTAATACAAATTTACATAATGATTTTTGCTTACTAAATTAGGGGAATTGACCCAATAAAAACTCTTTTTATAACAGAGCATATATCTATATATGAAATGTGTCTTCATGTCAAAGTTGAGGGCTGCATTTCTCAAATGAGATTTTTATTTTTGTTTTCCTGTCTACATTTGCTTATTTAGCCACAGTTATCACTGCAGCTTTTCTCTATTGCTGCTTCTTATTGACATTGGCAGTATTGTAAGGCCAGTGTGTTCATTTAAGTTGAGAAAATTAACATCAGGATACGTGTTTGAAGAAAAGTTAGAAGAAAATGCTGCAGGTGTGTTGGCAAAAATATAAGAATGCAAGATGTTCAAGAAGGGTTGAGTTTATAACTTCTTCCAGATGTATATAAATAAAATCTGAAAGTTTATTTTGAGAAAAATGTTTTCAGTTATTTTTTCCCATCTCTGCTGCAGGAAATAGCTGCCCGTGTGAATCAATCAGCTCTGGAGGCTGTCACTCCTTCTCCTTCCTTTCAGCAGAGGCACGAGAGCATGAGGCCAGCTGTGTGAGTGAAGCAACCAGAGGGCATTTGAGATGCACATATTAAAAGAAAATCTTGGAAAAAGTTCCAGGAGGAAAATAAAAAAGCCTATTAAACCTAGAAAGCTTTCTGTGAGCAGAACTAAGTCTTTGATAGGCCAGAGGAAAATTTCCTGAACACGCCTTTCACTGCTGAAGCACTGTTGAGCACCCATTGTTAAAAGTAATCCCAGTGCCAGCTGGTGGACACTTTGGTTTGTTTCATCATATCTTTTGTATTGTGTAATTTCATGATGAAATTTTTCTTCATGTGTCCAACTCCTGGAAGCAGACCTCAGATTGTATTATACTTAATATGTGATAATATATTGATGTTAAAACATCTGATACAATTATTAATGGAAGTAGTAACTTAAACTTGACTAGGTACATAGATTTATTTGCTATACCCTGATTTTCAGGTTTTTAGCTTTTGCTTTGTTTTACAATATTCCAGAACTTAGATGTATTGGTGTCCCCTATGGTTTAATTTATGATCAACCAACCTACACTCACATGCCCTAACTTTGCATTTTTGGTTTTGTTGTAGACAATCTCGTCCTCCTGCAGTTCGTACCAGCAGCACAGGGTCACTGGGATCTGACTCAGCAGCTCTCTCAGCACTTTCCTTGGATTCCCTTGTTGCCCCTGACACTCCGATCCAATTTGACATAATATCTCCAGTCAGTGAAGATCTGCCTGGCCAAGCAAAATCATCAGGGCAATCGGGCAGGTAGGAAATGTAGAGTGAAGGAAAAAAATCCCTAAAGTTAATGTTACTAATTCAAAAACAAACAAACAAGAAAATCACATTTAAGATGCAGCTCCAGCACACACATTGCCTTTTCCCTGACGTCACAAATTTTGCAGTGGCCAGTGAAGCAAAACAATTTGTTAAACTGTTAAATATAATTGTAGAAAAAGGCTTAATTACATCACTAGAGTCAAGGTGTAGTTTTTGATTTTGCAGCAGCTTTTTTTGCTTTAACAGCCAATGCTTTTATTAATTGATTTATTTTAAACTTTCGGTTTCATGAAGTATTTTCCTTTCCTATTGCTTGCTTACCCAGCAGCTTGGGTTATTTCCTCTTGGAAACTCAAGAGAAATTTGGTAGCCCTACCTCCAGGTGATGATGGCATACGATGACACTCCTCTTAAGCTGAAAGGTGAGTGAAAATGGTCTAGGCTTCTAGAGTAATTTCACATACAGACAAGTTAAAATCTTCTAAGAGTTCATCCAAAACAAATAAAACATTTTCTCCTGCTTGTTATTATATTTGAGTGGGAGATGTACTAAGAACCAAAGACCTGTAACTGATCACTGCATTTCTAGAGCTATATCTATAGAATTGAGATATTAAGAAAATGTATTTGCACATCCAACTGCTCTTAACAAGAACAAAAACAGCCAAAGAGATGAAAACTAATTTATGTGACTCTTGTCACAAAATGTCTTATATCCCCCACCTCTAGGAAAATATTTGAATTTTGAATTACATCTCACAGATGTATGAGTTGAAATTATAAATACGCAACTATTTTTTACTTTTTTCAAGAGTTTTCTTCTTGGTGTTGTTTGGTATAGAAGGATAAGCAGGTGGCCAACTAGATCCTTCAGAATACACTGATTTAAAAGAGACTTGAACTGTAGTGCAGGAAGTGGAAAGTTTAAGACTTAGCTGAATTCCTGTGGTAGCCTGGTCTCAGTTGGTCAGAGCAGGGTGGCAGTAACACCCAGACTGTGGATTCAATCCCTGTATGGGCCACCCACTGGAGACCTGGACTTGATGATCCTTGGGGGTCCCTTCCAACTCAGAATATTCTCTGATGTCATCAGTTATGACTCTAGTCTAGAAAATAATATTTTTCATAGCAGAAATGATAGAGTTGAGCTCAGTATTTTCAGTTAACCATCATCTTCAATAAAGAACTGCAGTGTTTGTACAGATAGGTAACATTTGGTTTCTCATACTGATGACATATATTTAAATTTTATTTCTGCCTTTTGAGAGATCCTGTGAGATAATGCATTGTGTTTAATATTAAATGACAAGAAAAGTATGAGCAATAGAAGATGCTAGTAGAAAAAAATTACTTTTACTATAATTACACAGGTCAGCATTTAATGGGATGGTTCTTGATTGAATCCATGCTATCTAAACATTGTAACAATGCCATCTTGGCTTCAATCTAGAAAAATTTTATTCCTTTAAACCAGCCATCTCTTAGTTAAAACATTTCTGATAATTGATAAAATAAACTGACAGTCAGTATGTGTAACTGAACTTTTTTTTTCCCCTCATAGTTCTGAAATTTGCTTTTAGAACACTAATTATCAAGGTGACACTTTAATTAATCCCATAAAAAACCTAATTTGAACTCTATAGAATCCTTGCCAATAGCTTTTCAGCTACCAGTCAGCCAAAGAGAATGGGTGATTTCCACTACAAATTTTAAATAAAATGTCCCCATCTCCTGTGCTCATTCCTTTATTGTTCTTGAAAAATGCAGACTTGGAAGCCTAGAGTATTTTCACTTTTGTCTGTAACTGATAGTAAATCTGTCTCTTAGAGCCAGAAATAGCCACATTTCTCTTGACCCTCTAGGAGTAAAACCCCAGTGATGTTTTGAGAAAGCTGCATTTGAAACAAACCCAGGGGCTTCTCTTGAGTAAGTAATCCAGCACCTTGACACTGATGAGAAGTGGGTGCTCCTATGGTGTACTGAAAGGGCCTGGTGTTTGGCTGTGCTTCCTGAAGCTGTTCTGTGAAATTTCATCCCCTAAAACTACACCTTTTCAAGCACTACCAAGGTTTTGGTTTGGGCTTATTTCAAATATTAAAAAAAAAAAAAAGAAAGTGAGCAAAACTTTCTATTGCAGCAATAGGACAATAATATCTGGTATTTTCCCCATAATGTGGGTCCTCAAATACAGCAAATTATGTCTCACTCCTGATGAAATTGCTTCTCCTTTTGATTTATTATACATTATTCCTCCAAATTACAAGTTTGTGAACTCATTACATGTTGGTATTTTATGCAGCATGAGTCTACTGCACTATCCACGAATGGTTCCTGTAATCTGACTCCTGCTTTAATGTTTTCATTTTTTAATAGACGCACAAATCCTTTTGGTGAATCTGGAGGCTCAAAACCTGAAACAGAAGGTAAAACAAAAATTTCATTTCAATGCAAAATAAAAATAAATTTTGACAATTATTGTTCTGTTTTCATCTCTAGCTTCTCTCTTCTAATTTAACACTGGTTTAAAAATGCTTAATTGCATTGCAAGGTACTTGACAGGTCAAGTTAAATCAAACTACTGTCTGAAGACAGTAAAATGCTGTAAAAATGATTCATTGCATCTTTTGTATTCATTAACCAAATGAAAAGATGTGTGATGTGCTGTGTAGTAACTGCACCTCAAATTGCTAAGTGGGAACGATCTTTTTTCAAGTTATGGGGAGTTCGGAGTTTTCCTGACTGCAGTCAACATTTGGTTTTGAATGGGAAACCCAAAATGGAGTTTTTTTCAATATTTTTTTTTTCTTAGATTCAATTCTTCATCAGTTATTTATTGTAAGATTTCTTGGCTCTATGGAAGTGAAGTCTGATGAAAGCCCAGATGTTGTTTATGAAACAATGCGTCAAATACTCGCAGCTCGTGCCATCCATAACGTTTTCAGGATGACAGAATCACACTTGTTAGTCACTTGTGACTGTTTAAAGTAAGTTTGCTTCCTGACTTCTACTGATGTTTATTTACAGAATGATCTTCTTTCACTTTGGTAAAATTTACTTTCTGGTTTGTCTTTAAAAACAAATTTTTAGGTTAATTGATCCACAGACACAAGTTACAAGACTACGAGTAAGTAACTTTCCATTTTAAGATAAATACCCAGCAATGTAATTCCTTTAAAAATATTATTATTAGATGATAGCAAAAATCACCAATAGCATGAGACTTGCAACCAAATTTCCAGTGCTATTAGGAGACCAGTGCAAACATTTAGAAACACTTGCAAATCAGATTCATGCAAGTAATTTCAGTAGGTCAAATTGGCTTTTGAGACTCCCTTCCCCCTGCTATCTGAGAGGGTTAAATAGTAAAGAGAGAACATTAATGATGGAGTTACATTAGTTCTGAAGTCCAAGAAGGTTTGTTTGCTGTTTGGTTTCTCTGCTTTGTTTTGGGGTTTTGTTTTTAGTATATATAATAGCCTTGAGGGTGTTGAATGGCTTCTGTTTTGGTTTCTTGTTTTTCTACTTCATAAAAAATGCACTTGAAAGGAGTAAGTGGAATTCTTGTTAGGATATCAAATAAGTTCAGTTTAATTCTTTAGTAATAGCTGTCTTTATTCTTCATATTTCAAAACTATTTCCTTTTTCCCTTTCCATGCACAATTTTTGGTCTGTCATTTAATTCTTTTTTGCTTTTAAAAATCTTGCATTTTTTTGGAGGCTCTGAATTGCTTTCCTTTTCAAAAAATGGAAAAAAAAAAAGGAAAAGAAGATCTTGAGCATGGAAAAATATCTTTAAATATTTAAAACTTGACATTAAGTTCAAAAATGCTCCAAAGCTGTCACCTTTTACAGGTGAGGTACATCAACTGAGGGTATGTCCTATATGCTAAATGCAAACATCTAATCCTAGGAAAAACTCATCAGTTTGTAGCAGCTGTGGTGGGGACTCTCAGAATTTTTAAGTTTATTGTTTGATGAGTCTTAAAAAGATAATGTGAAGTCCAGCCTCTTGTAGGAATAAGAATGCAAAACAGTTTTCTTGTAACAAACTAATGAAGGCATGTGATTTGTATGGGTTGGGGATTTTTTTTCCTTGCTTATATAATTAGGAGAGCTGAGCTAATTGCAGTAAAGGTTTTTGAGAAGTAGTGCCTTTACATGGAACTAAATATTGAAAGTTTAGTCACCAATGTAATAATAATGAATGATTAAAACAAAATAAAACTGGAGTGTATCTGCTTTTAGGAAGGTGACTGACACACACTGCAAATCTGGTCCCTTTTTCTTACATGGAGTGTGTTTTTTGACATTTGCTTGTCTTTGGATAATTTAGTCCTTCCTGTCTATAATCTGTTTGTGTTTCGTAATTACATTTGGTCGAGTAACTTCTTGTGCTGTGGCTGTGCATTAATTAATGTGCAGGGTATTGAAACCTCATTTAGCAAATATTTGGAATCAGTTTTAATCTCTCCATGTCTGATCCTTTTGGCAGTTTCCTTTGCCCAATGTAGTGCTGTATGCTACACACCAGGAGAACAAGCGTCTCTTTGGATTTGTGCTTAGAACCTCAGGAGGGAGAGTGGAGAGCTACCAGACTTCCATCTGCTATATATTTGAATCAAATAATGAAGGGGAAAAGGTATTGGTGCTGGTTTTGACTTGTATCAGTTGTGAATAAGGATTCAGAGATGCTAGATCCATTCAAGCTGTCTAAGGCATGTTTTATGTACTGAAAAAGTTAAACCTGTCATTTTAAGTGCCTGCAAATGCTTTAGCGTGCTGTTGTATCTAATTTGGGATGCTGGCTTAAATTTAAAGGCATTTTTAATTATTTCCTATCTGTTTTGTGTTTAGATTTGTGACTCTGTTGGACTGGCCAAACAGATAGCTTTTCATGCAGAACTGGTAAGAATCTTTTTGGGGCAAAGATTGGGAATGGAAGGAAATGGCTTGGGAATGGAAGGAAAGTGGTGTATTTAATATGTGTATTAAATAGATTGTATTCTGAAAGATGCTTCTAGATACAGCAGTACTGATGTGTATTTTAAGGGATATTTTTCCTAGAATTTAAATTCATGTGAAAAGACCGACCAGTGTCTACTGTAGGACAATATTCAATATAGGATTAATTTTGTGACTTTTAACAACCATCCCAGTCATTTAAAAGCAGAATAATTAAAACAGTGATGTCAGAGTTTTGAGCAAGCTCATATCAATCAGTAGTGTCTCAAACATCTGAGGCTGTTGTTACTGACTTCCTTTACATTTTTGCCCTGTAGGATCGAAAAGCCTCAGAAAAGCAAAAAGAAATAGACAGAGTCAAAGAGAAACAGCAAAAGGAACTGAATAAACAAAAGCAAATTGAGAAGGTACCTTTCATCATTATTTCTTAGTATTAGGTATTTTTCTACTTACATTTTTTTGTCATTTTGTCCAAAGCTGTCCACTGATAGTATTGATAAACCATTTAGAAATCATAATAATGGTATCCTGTGTCCATTGCAGATGGCTTTAAGGGTAATACTTTTTTTCTGATTTCCCAACCCCCCTTCCCAACTTAGGACTTGGAGGAGCAGAGCCGGTTGATAGCAGCCTCCAGCAGATCCAACCAGAGCAGCACAGAAGGACAGTTTGTAGTCCTTAGCAGCAGCCAGTCAGAAGACAGTGATTTAGGAGAAGATGGAAAGAAGAAGAGAGAATCTGAAGCCTAAGGTTGCCTGCTTCATTAAAGTCAGAATCATGAATATTTCTGGTGAAATGGCACAAGTTCCACAAGAGGTGAAATGTAGGTGGAGGGTCTGTCGTGTTATAGCAAAGACTTCACAATATATAGACCCTATTATGCCTTGATTTTTCTTTCTCAGTTAAGTGATTTCCATTTCTGTCAGTATAATTTCTCTTGTATTCCAGATGAAGCATGGTGATGCTGCCACATTAATTACAAACATATGTTTTCTCAAGGCTTCTCTGCAGTATGAGAAAAAATATGGGGGTTTTCCCCCACTTACCTCTGTGCAATTGACTGCTTTGGAAGCAAAACTGAAAATTCATTGGCCTTCAGCAGTAACACTGAAATTTTTTCTTTACATTTCTCCATTTACTATGGAGAATACTTTGCTGGAAACAAAAGTGGATGTCCAAATAAGACAGTGCTAAGCTTTACTCAGTTGCACATATCTGTTCTTAGATTTAGAAAGAAGGATCCCAATTAACATCAGTGAGATGTGCAATAGTTCTAAACAGAAGGTTCTTTTTTGTTTCATTTTGCACAGTATGATACTGTCTTGATTTTTTTTTTTTTTTTTTTTTTTTTTTTTATTTTTGGTGAATACAACACCAAAAAAATTATTTCAGCAGGAGAAAAAGATACTGTCAGAGCTAGGTAAGAGCTAATGAGATGCAGCTGAACTTTGCTGCATGAGGAAAAGAATTCCTCATCAAATGATAAGAGTAATGTATATAGCCTTGTAGTACAAGTGCCATGTTCTTGGTTTTTCCCCAGTATTTGGAATAGAAAGCTGTAAACCTTTGAGTTCACTTTTATAAAACATGCATAGAGTTGCAGAAACATCTTGAATTCCATCACATGAAAACATTGCATCACATCTTCTGCATATGTAAATGCCTTGCTGCTAGTACACTACATCTACTGAAAACGAGTTGGGGCTCTTTAGTCCTTTTATGATTTTGCAAACAGAATTTGCCATTTCTGAATTAAGAGATGACAGTAATCGTACATCCTAGAGTCAGTTCTGGAAAGCATTTTTCAAAGTGGTGTCTGTTTACAGCTTGTAATCTGCACTCCATATTCCATACCCTGTGTAATATTTATTTTGTATAGTATTAGATGTGCATTCACCTTTTGATCCAGAAGAGAAATCTTGTTTGAAGAGAAATATTTATTTTTGCACTAATTACTATAAATATTAAAATCCAGAGGAACAGAAGATAGCTCTCTAATAGTGGCATGAAAATAACAGGATATGTAGAGAGAAAAGAATATACTTATATTCCAAGTTATAATATAACAGTTATGAGTGATTTACAGTTCATTGCAGGGCATTTCTGGTGCTCAGGAATGGAAGCAATTTTCAGAGTATCTCCACAGCAGCTGGTGGTGGCCCAGCCCTTCCTAGCTGGCATTGCTCAGTGCTGATAAAGTGAGCCAGGTGTCTCAGGTTGTGTCTGCTGGATGGCTGTAGGTGCACAGAGGGCTCTTCTAACTCACAGCAGTGCCCTGCACTGGCCAAAGCTGGCAGCCTCCTCCTGCCCTAGGTGCTGGTGGTGTGACTGTGTGCAGGAGTTGGTGGCCTCAGCTCCTGTGACAGGAGAGAAGGGCAGCAGTGCCTGCCCTCACAGCCCTGGGCAGGAGCAGAGGCAGCTGGAGCTGGAGCACTGCTGGGCAGAGGCTGCACCACAGTTTGAGTTGCACCTCCACCTTGAAAAAGGAGGGGGGGAGGCTGAGGAGCAGAGAGCCACCAGGTTCTCTTCCTGAGTTAGTTACCAGGTCGTGTTGTGTTTTTCATCCCCAGAGTAGCCAGTCACTTGTAGAAATATCTGCTTTTGCTGTTGCCCAGGTAGGTCACACAGCCCTGTGGCTGGACTTGGCTGGCACAGTGCCACATGGACCACACCTGAAAAGAAAAGAACCTGAGACTTCTTTTAAAAGACAGTGGCATTTTTATTTCATATCTAAGCTTCCATTCTCAGCTCCCATTTTTAAGAGACTATTTTTATTCTTGCCAACAAAAATTACAGAGAGGCACCAAATCAAATTTTTTCCCTTTTCTGTGCTTAAATCAAAGATTACAGAGAGTGGCAAGGCAGTTTGTCTCTGCAAATTATTCCAGTTCATGTTTGTTTGTGTTTGTTTGTTTTTATTTACTGATATTTGTTTTCTATCAAATAATATCACAGGGTAGCTCAAGGTTACTGTGTCTTACTTGTATCTTTCTCAAGTATTTATTGAGGATGACGCAGTTTGGAAACAGCACAGGGAGCTGATGAAAGCAGTGATCTCCATTGTCTAGAATCCAGTCCTCAGCTTGTCAGAGAAGGACTGATTGTGTTAAGCACTGGAGCTGCAGTAGCCCAGGTTCCAGAGGGAGGGCAAATAAAAGACAAGCACTCTCATGAAAAAGCATTTCTGATGTGCAGCCTGTTTTGCATTAGCCTTATTGAAGAAATGTCAGAAAATGGAATTACTGTGTTTTTTCTCTCAAATCTACCATTACTCATACAGATATAAATCTGCAAAGATGAGGAAGAAAGGGTAATAAAGTTGGCAGGTGAATTTACTGTCAAATGGGATTTTTTTGATTTAGCAATAAATATTGGAATTATTCCCTTTGCTTTTCAGGCTTTCCATATATGCCATCAAATGTAGCTTTCTAAAACAGAGTGGTAGTGAAGTACATTTCACTTATATTGGATGATTCTCATCTTAACCACTAAAAGACTGATATGCACAAATGAAATGTAGGGATTGTTTGTTTGCTTTTTCAGGGGAGTTTCACTGGTGTAAAATGAGCAAGAAGGTATAAAAGCATCTGGGATAGTGATGAAAGCTGTAAGAGCAAAGGGCATGTCAGCAGAGCTGGGGAAGTCGGACAGGAATGGTGACTGAGTTTGCAGGGGGAGTCAGAATTACTGAGCTTTGCCTAGGGAGGATCACATAGATTGTGATTATAACATCTCAAGGCAAAAACAGCTGCTGCTGTTTTATCCATGCCCTTCATCCCAAAAGGAATAGCTATTTTGGTACCTTTTTTCCTATAAAGTTTAGAACTACTTCATTACAAAACAGCTTTGTTGAAAAAATCAGAATGCTTGGTATTTTCCTTGAGAGTATATAACTTTTAGAGGGAACACCTCACAGTCTACTGGAAACTGCTGTAGTAGGATTTCACCACCAGAGTATTTTATTATTGTAACTAAACTACTAGATGGTTTTATTTCCTAATTTACAAGAGATTAAATAAACTCTCCTGTTTATTATTTTCTTTTGCCTTTTATTCACAAACTGATCTTTCAAGTACTTTCAGCTGAAGTTGTAGTTTGCTTCATGTGCATCTACTCTCACTTCACTCACTCCTGAAAATATTTTTCAAGTCCATGTAATGGCATGAATATACAGATATATCAGGTGTGCTTTTGGGTATGCATTTGATTGCATAACAGATGATAGCTGGTACTCCTCTGTGGCCACTGCTAGATTTGGCCAAGTCTGAACCAGAGGACAAGGTCAAAGTCATGTACTATCTAAACATATCTAACTGGAGATGATCAGGTAGTGAAAAGTCAATTGCATGTCATAGTTTTACTTCTTTAATCTGTTTGAGTTTGAAATTGTATCAAGATTACTGTTAGACAGTAATAGTTTTACTTCTTTAATCTGTTTGAGTTTGAAATTGTATCAAGATTACTGTTAGACAGTAAATTGTATTTAAGAGTTAAGAAACATTCCCCTTCTAGAGGGCTGTCAGACTTTTTTTCTTTTTATGTATGTAAATCCAGAGGTGAAAATCGTGAAACAGCTGAAGCTGTTTATGAAGCTGTAATTGATGTACATGGGTATAAAGAAATAAATTTGACAGTTTAAGGCAAATTCTGTCTATGCTTAAGGTAAATTCTGATTAATTAGTTGTACAGCACTTGGGACAAGCCAATGGTGAAAACTATGCTACAATATAGTCTCTTATTATTTAGAAAATAGTTCACCTATAGAAAGAAAACTGCCACTGCTTAGTGAATTTAGTAGAGATATTGTCTAGTGTAACAGCAAAAACTGATACTTATATTCTTTCTCTTGTTCAATATTACAAAAATTCTTGCAAGCTAATAAGTCCCTAAGGCTTTTTGTTTTAATTAAGCACTAAGTTGACTTTTTTTTTTCCCTGCCACAGTGGTATCTAAGTTGTCATGACAAGAGTAAGTCAGTGTATCATTGTGAATGCACTTGTATGCCTAATGAAGTTTATATTGCAAGCCAAGGATTTTGTACAATCTTTCTGGACATTTTACAATAGAGTGGAGTGGTCAAATTCTTATGATGGTGTTCTAGATTGGTCCTGTTCTGGTGAAGTCTAGGTGATTTTTGCAGTGTTTGAGACTGACTTGCACATTTTCCCTGAATAGCTGTATTAAGAACAACCAATGGCATATTTATGTCAACTCTGATTGTTGTGTCTTAATCTTGGAAACATGGATAGTAACCCTATTGTGCCAGGGCTCTAGACAGCATTTTATATTTTAAATAAAAGCTTAATTATAGTAACTTTCTGGGTGGGACTTGTACTGATGCAAAAGCCTCTTGCATTCTTCATCACACTGACTTTCAGAAAATACCATTATTGGTGACAGGATCTGTTCCTTTCCATTAAACAAAGTTCTGACATGCAGGTATTGCCCTCCATTATCAAGTGTAGCTCAGTTCTCTTAATTTTTATAGTGTTAGGCAGATAACCTCAGAGGAAGTTGTTACACTTGGGAATGCTCTTAACTTGTTTTTGCAACAATCAGAGACTGAAGGTGAGCAGGAGCTGTGGCAGCTGGCTGGGCAGGGCCCATGGTGGGGCAGTGACAGGGCCATGGGGCTCTGTGGATCAAGCTGAGGGCAGAGGCTCCAGCAGCACAACCACTACCATGGGCACTGGACATACCTTCACAGGCTGAGGTGGTTTATTATGGGATAAACACCATGTAAAAAACCATGGGCCATAACCACATTATGGTTAATTGTATTTTATAAGGTTTGTAGATTTTTCTGGGGAAAAGCAGACTTTTGAATTCTGTAACTTCTGTGATAAAGATGCATGTGTAACTAGGAAAAAAAAAATCTATGCTTACTTCATTATGAAGGAATAAATACTACTAATGCCAAATGTGTTGATGAACTTTTTTTACTAAAATAGGAACTGACATTTGCAGTATTTTTAGAAGTAACAGGCATGTTGTAGGTCTTTCTAAGACTTCTGTAAATCATCCTAAAATGACAGGGCTCCAAAAGTTTAAGCTCCACCTCTATAGACAGAAGCTCCAAAAATTGCAAGCATGGCTTTAGACAGCATGGTGTAAGGAAAACCCAGTTCTAGAGAGAATAGTCCAAGTTCATGGTGGATGAGACATATCAGTACCTGAGAAAGAGCTGCAGAACTAACACAGCTTTCAGCAGTGCCAGCTTGTTGAAATACTGGTATGTCACATGACCTGCTGTGATAAGCAGAGGTTTCTCAAGCTTAATCCCAGTTCATTGCCTAGAATGCAACATTGCTTTGTTGGGTGAAGAAAAGAATTGCTTATACTGAACTTCACTGTAGGACTTAACTAATAAAAACTACTTGGCAAGAGAAGGGAAGAAGTACAAGTGAAAACTACATCCCTTCCTGATTTTAGTACAATTCTTGACCTTTAACTAAACCCTGAGTTTAACCCTGGAATGGGGGTAGTGGTATCTGATATGACAAGCTCTAACTTAGCCATAACACAAGGCTTACAGCCCTGTATTTTACACTTCCTTAACATGTCACACTAGGCATTTAAAATGCGGTTGCCATAACTTCCAGATAGGTCATAGTCCAGGAGATCCTTAGAATGAGATCACCAATACTTATATTTTGGGGGTCTCACCATTTTCTTCACAGGGTGAGGGGAGAATGCTGGCATTCCATAATATACAGAGGAGAGAAAATCCCAAAAGAAAAAAGCACAACAGTCTTACCCACATTAAATTCCCTTCAAAGTACAGGACTCATCTTATGCACAGTTGAGGTTGTAGACCCCTGTGAAGTTTTCCTGTCCATAAAGATCATATTCCTTGTACAGGATGTAGTCTTTCAAGCAGTTTGGCAGGGGTAGGAAGGTCATGAAGACAGGACAGCGGAGACGCAGCCGGCCCATGCACGCCCGGATCTTCAGACGGCAAAGGTGCTTCAGAGAGCGAGGATTTGCTAGAAAGGAGAAGCAAAACCAAAATGCTACCAACCAAAAAGGCCCCAATGCTAAACCAGTTTGTTTAATTAAAAATGTAAACAGATACTTACTTAAAATGAAGTGGATGTCTGGCCAAAGTTCCTGTTCTTTGAGAACTGCTTCGAGCTTCCAGCAAATCTTAACGTGATCGACGTAATCCAACATGACTCGCACTACTTTCCCAGACACGTGCTTCAGCCAGGACAAGGTTATCACTTCACAGAACTGATAGAAACAAAATGTTTAGTTGGGTAATACTCAATACTGCAGTAAATTATTTCTTTCTCTGAGGGCAAGAACAATTAACTTACTTGAGCAGGGTTTTAGAAGTTGCCACAGCTTGCCTTAAGCCTCACTAGTACAATCTAAAAATCTGAGAGATGGTTACTTTGTACTAGATCCAAAAATAAACTTGAGTAGCTCTCTATCTGGGGACTTGGTACTTAAAAAGAAGTGCTACCACTCAGGTGCTTAATAGGGGGACCCACCAGCCCAGTGCATGCATTGCCCCCTTATCTATAGGTTAAAGAAGGGTTTATTAGGTTGAAATGGACTTTACAAACTGCAAAACAATGACACTAATGAGTGTCTCTAGGAATCTCTTTAGGTTTGCTAATTTCTGCTCATGCTTATCCCACCAGCTCCAGGGGTCCTTTCAACAGCCTTCCAGTCTCAGTATTCTAATTCAGGACAATGCAGAGAGCCAGCCTGCAAATCTCTGCTTTCACAGCATGGACAAGACTGCCCTGGAGAGCCAGCTCCATGCTGATCATTAGCATATCATCAGCTGTATTTTCACCATTTAAAACTGCTGTTCGCTATCATTTACCTCCATCAACTAGGCTTCGTAACAACACCTGTTTAATTTTAAAGCCTTGTCTATTCCTCTCTTTATGTGTAAACAGTCTTCAAAACTCCTTTATCTGGCAGTGCATTAAGCCCCTTTCCGTTTAGTTTGAGGAAGGCCGGTGGCAGCAGGAGAGCAGCCGAAGGCGTGTGGCACGTACCATGGTGTCTTTGATAACGGTGGAGGTCCAGCCGTCGGTCACGTACTGGGAGTGGTCCCCGCTGCCCCACGGGCAGTCGAAGCAGCGGTGCACGTCGTAGCCGTAGCTCAGCAGCATCCTCAGCATGACCTCATCTTTGAGGGCGTACTGCAGAGCCGATGGGAAATGCGTGGTGTTCACGCGGCAGAAGTAGTTGACGTTGGCCCCATGGCGGAGCAGCAGATTCATTAACTCGTAGTTGCCCATTCTCAAGGCTATTTGGAGGCAGTTGATGGGATCTTGGTTAGTCAGGGCTCCGGCGTTCAGCAGCAGCTGTGTGGAGCAGATATCCCCGTTGGAAACGGCGAAGTACAGGGCTGATTTCCGGTGGTCGTCATAGCCTTTGCGAACTCTCTGAGCCAGCATAAAATTGGCATCAAAACCTGACTGGAGAAGAAACTCAAGGCACTGAGGATGTGCTCCTGCTGCTGCTGAGTGAACTGGACTTATCCCACTTTCTTTAATGGCAGCAAAATCAGTCACTGGAACTAAATATTTTAGAGCTCTGAAAAATTAAAAATAGAAGCATCTCAGAATCTTAAACATTTTGGTTCACCTAACTCATCTTTGAATTTCTCTGGGTTGTTTGGCTTCAGAATTCATCATGACTGTTAGAATAATCTTAATATACCAAATCAGTACCATGGCATGCATTGACTTGAATTGCTAACAATGAAATTGTTAGCCAGCAATGGATACTGACTCTACACCTACTACACATAAAATATTATTATATTATGCTATTATTCATGAACAACCCATTCGTTGCTATAGGAATTAATGATTCCTTCTCAATAGAAATTTTTCCTGAATGTTGAAAGCACAGTGTTATTGCTTAACCTATAGGGATTAGAGAACTAATAGAATATGTATTATAACATGAATACGTGTAATTTATAGTGTTATATATACATCTAAGTTTAAATATAACAATTAATATACAGAAATATTAATACAGAAATTAAGCATCTCAGGTGCTTGTTTCTCATTTGTTAGTTGTGATTTCAGCATAAATATCTTTAGGGATAACCCTAACTCTCAACATCTCTTTGTCTATTTAGTATATTCACAGTTCACATTTCTGTGATGGGGTGGAGATTAGACATTGAACCATACAGTAACACTGTCCCAAGAACCTCAGCATCAGACTAGACAGTGTTACTACTTGTGAAAAATGGGAAAATACCACAGGGATTAGGATGCACATCCTAAAATCATGAAGATTTTATGCTGACTGGTCTCTTACATTCAGACACAGAACAGACATATTTACACAGTCAAAAATAATTATTTGTACAAAACTACAGATTTTCTCCCTGCTTTGAATAAGGTAAAATTAGTAAAATTAGTATTTCTGGTGTCACTTATTTGATTTTTAAGTATATTAACTCACAGAAAGTGTCCTCTATATGCAGCTCTGTGGATTGGCAAATGACCCGAGTGCTTTGGTACATTGGCATCAGCCCCATATTCTAGTAAAAGACTCACAGAATCTGGATTTCCTCCTCCTGCTGCTTCAAACAATATAGAAGCACAGTCCATTGCCTGTGAAAGAACATCTGCACCTGGGAAGAAGCAGCAAGGGTTTTCACACTAGTCACAGCTGTAATTAATATCTCCAAACCCAAGTGACATGGTATTTTGAATTCTATTCTCCACCAACTGGAACCACTATGGGCATAAATCTTCATGTTGTATCCTTGATTTTTAGATGTGTTTATGTAATCCTGGGAACAAGAAGGTCCAAACTGCTTTGAGCACAGTAAGAATTATTCCTAGAACTGTGCCAACAAAAGGTATTTCTTCTTGTTCATCAAAACAATTGCTTTTGGCTTATAAACAATGCATTTCAATTCATTTATATTACACCAAGCAGGTGTAACTGTAAACATGAGAGTACCCAGCATGCAAACAGTTCATGCAATCCACTTCCAGTGCTGATGAACTATTATGTAAAATTCCCCACAGTAAATATCTTGTCAAGCATGTCCTAAGGTAACCTGTCTACACGAGAAAATAATAGAGCATTTAAAAAACAATTACAAGCACTCATTAAAATATTAATATATTATTATTATATTGTACAAATTGATATTTTTCAGGCCTTCACTACATCACAACCACCTTTTAGTGCTGATGGCATTTAATTTTCTCTAGTAAGGTGAGCTACTTCTGCTGCTGTTTTTGAAGGCATATCTCAAGCCTTCTCTTCCTAAAAGGTCCTTTATAATAAAGTCTCACCTTTTTGCAGTAAGAGCTCCATAATTTCTGTATGTCCCATCTGTGCAGCCAGTGCTAGAGGTGTGAGCCCATATCCACTGCGGGGGTCAGGATCTGCTCCAGAATCCAGGAGGAGCTGTACCAGATCCCTCCTGCCCAGTCTGGCTGCCTCATGCAGAGCAGTTCTCTCGTGGACACAGCGCAAATTCACTCTGGCACCAGATCGTAGCAACAAGGAGGCAATGTCATAGGAGTCACGTTTAATTGCTGTAGGACAACAATCAAAGCATCAGACAGGGCTGCAATCCAATGCTGTTCTGTGCACTATGGCTGCTGTTACGTGGCAGCCCAGGAAAGCTGTTCCTGGCAGTGCTATTTATGCAATGAGAGATGCCACCCAACACTGAAAGGTTTAACTCATCAACAAGTGTGTTCTTTGCTTCCAGGACAGCATTAAGTATGCAAATAAATCATTCAATGGTAATCTCTTTTTCTGTCTGTAGATTTTTTTTCTCTCTGTTGCATTTGGTAATGGAACAGAACACAGCTTTCCTTGCCACTAGGTGGAGACCACACCCAGGGCCTTGGTGCTCAGGAGCTGCCACCAGAGCTCTATTTAATCTCCATGAGCAGTTACCATAATGTGAAACAAAGCTTATAATGACTCTTTCATATGCCTTCTTAGCTTAATAAGCCTGAACTCTTAAGTCAGCGAGGATCTTAAAAGAGAAATTTGCATTAGCTCCAGTGGATGGAGTGATTAGGCAACACCCTTCTCTCTTTCTGTCTTTGATCTTCCAGGCTGTGCAGGATAGTGAGTGTCCTTCAGCAGGACAGATGAGGCTGAGCAGCTTCATGTGCCACAGCTGCCTGAACATCAGTGACAGCATTCTGTGATAGAAACTGTGATGTCCCATTATCTGTAACCTACACGGCTGCTTTAGATAAATCCCATGCATCCCCTTCTTGGGGGATGGTGCATTTTAATGTCCTTCAAAAGTATCTAGGAGTTCTGTGCATTTTTTTAAGCAGATGGCCCTGACTTGAAGCTGCAGCCATTTTACAAGGATGGACTGAAGGTCCTATACATGACTGGTAGGCCTTTTTCTCCTCCTTTAACAACAGTTTTGAAAAAGAAACCACTCTTCCAATACAGAAAAATGTACAGGATCACCCAAGAAACTTAAGAGTGCTCCTTTAGAATTTGAATAATGTGAAGATACTTTCCTTTTTTTGGGTAGGCATCAGTTAGAATGAAGGCATCATAGCCCAGACTGAGGGAAGCAAAGGAAATGCACACGGTACACTTTTGAAAAGCATTTTGGCAAAATATTTTTTATATCATTATCTCATTAGAAATAATGAATTACAGTTCTTGTGCATGATCAAATTGAAGTGGCATTCTCATAAAGAATGCGGCTATGAGACTATACTTGGACTATGGTAGGTATGGGATCTTATTCCTAAATTGCAAAGTACTAAAGAGAAGTGAACTGAGAATGTCAGCCTGGCTTCTTCACTTGCCATCCTTGGACTAATGCTGGCAGTGTCTAAATAGGGGCAAACACTGCTTTGCACTCTACATACTGCAGATAAACCAGACTGCTTGGCTATAATTTTGGATAATTAAAACCAATGACCATGGGTTTTGGAGAAAGAACTGATGCAATGAAGGAGATACCATGTGGGCACAGGATATTAATGTTGTATGCCTGCAGACATTAAGGGCAGTAATAGCATGAGGAAGCTGAAGGACTCACAGCCTGGCAGCACTACAGAAATGGTGCCAAGGAAAGCAGAGGATGGCACTCTGCACTTCTTGGAGAAAGCTAATTATCATCTGGGAAGAATAGACAGGGACAGACACATTCAATGGTGAGATTACTATTTTTTTTTCTGTTCATAGCAAAATATTTTAGGCATTGAAGTCATATATGTCACACTGAAACCTAAAATGTATAACTATATCCTCACCTCATTCCCTCACCTCTCCACCCCTATAAACAGTATTCACCTATAACTAAAGGAGAATCTCCCTCTTCATCTTTAACATTGGGATTGCAGCCATTGAGCAGGAGAAAGTGGACATTATCCACAAAACAACTTCTTACTGCCACCAAGAGAGGTGTTTCCCCTTTTAGAGTGGACCGTTCCCACGTAATGTCACGGGAGGCTGAAATGCAGAAAAGCAGAACACATTTGAAGTTGGATGATTCATCAGACTTTATAAAACTTTTGGGTGAAAAACTAGAAGGACTTTGTACCTTTTAAAGTTATTTCAAGGATGTTCTTATTTAGCTGTGCTGCAGCTTCGTGCACAGGAAGCCAGCCTTGCTGATCTGCTTCTTCAAAAGCAGAACTGTGCCTCACCAACTTCTTCAAGGCCTCCTCTTGGCCTGTGATATTTTAACACAGACACATATGCCATTACTCATTATAACACAAAATTCAGGCAACTAATACGAGTGCCATTTATCCCACCAGTGTATCTTGCTCATTTTAAAAGAAAGGCCTGGAGTTTCGCCCTAATTTTAGGAGATGAAGCACTGGAATATCTGAAGGGGGTGACACTTGAACCCATCCCACTTCCATGGTCCTGTCTAGTAAGTTAGCTACTGGATGTGTTGTATTTACTTCCTTTACTTCTCCCAAGACTACATAAAGAAAAGCTGCACTTAAATCAGGTGATCAAACCCCTAGAATGCAGGCATTGCTCAGCCATTCCCAGGGGTGTAGGCTTAGTGTGGTGTATTTGTACTTAACTGTCCGAATTGCTGCAATGATCTGTTCATGTTCTTTACTTGCAGTATTCTGGAAACTGCAGAAACAGAACAAGAATAAAACTACAAATAAAAATTCATGTGAAGCTATAATATAATAGATATATATTATATAGGATATAATTATACCTGACTTTAAATACTCTAATTTAGACAATATGTTAAATTTCTCTAAGTTACATTGGTTTTGTGAAGGTTTAACACATTAAAACACTTTTTTTGTTGGTCTTTCCCTGACACTGTAAATACTGAATTTTTTATACAAAGGCAAACAAATGCTAAAATAAGGGGAAGCTCCCATACAAATCTACTTTTACATCACCTACTTATCTTCTTCACAAAGCCTTATACTCATTTACATATTGATGTAAAACATCACCTGAAAGTTTCATACATTCCATGTTTTCCAGGAAACAGGTGCACTTTTTCAGGGAGAACTCAGAACAAGTGAGCTAGAAGTGCTTTCCAGTATCCATGAGACAAGGTTAGTACAATACAACGTACAGAGTTACAAAGGAAAATCAGGTCTGCTAAATGCTTACAATAATGCCAAGAAAACACCCAAAATAGAAATAATTGTAACTTATTACCTTTCAACCTCTGTTGCACTGCCACTTGTTTCAAATTTATGCCTGTCTTGTAAGCTTTCCTGAATAGCTCGCTGGGTATGGATTTCCTCATCAGAATCACCATCGACCATATACACAGAATTATTCATGGCAAATCAGCACAACATGGATCACTTCTGTAGGGAAACACTGCTTTTAAATTAGAAGCAGGCGTTAAATCTTCAGGTTAGAACTGGAGTAGTAGAAATAGCAATCACTGTGTCAGTATGAAGAGAAATGAAACATAGTTTAAAATAAATGACTACACACTGTTAGATGCTTTAGCAGTCATGCTTCTCTTGGCATATTCAAGATCTCAGATGTTCTGTTAGGCTCAAACTGCTCATCAGTTTTACCTTACCAAAACTTCCACTTCTGTCTTTCAAGAGAGCTGGCCTGATAAAACAAAACAAAACTACAAGGCAAGGTAAAATAAAATTAATAAATAAAATTGAAAGCTAATAAACAACTTGGCAAAATGGATTAGCACAGAAAATTTAACGAAGTTGTCAATATACCAACTACAAAGCTTGGAATAATTCTAGAAATATCTTAAAGCTAGGCAGCAATAATTCACAGCAAATCTGCATCATTTAATTTGTTACCTGACCCACCTAATGTGTGATTGCAAGGCCTTGTTCTGTAATTGCATATGTAGCAAAAAAGAGAAATGTATTAGCAACATGCATAGCAAGAAACTGTTAGTAATTGATTTTACTATGGCTCAATGAGGACATAAATATTTTAAGTCTAGGCTATTTTTTTTCCTAAAAATACTACTAATTTTCCTATGAATTGAGAAAATATATTGGGTTTCCTCACCTTCTGAAAGAGGGAAAATCTCAGCCTTTGAAGAAGTGATTATTAAGTTGAAAGTGACATTTTCAGGATTGTAAGCAACCTCTGCAGAGCCCATGTCCATTAATAGCTCACTATAAATACCCGATCATAAGATACTCTGGGACTTTCTCCACGTTTCTTTCACACACGTCAGTTATGTTTAATAATCTGACCTGATAAGTGGCACCAACAAAAGAAGGAATTAAAAGTCCAGTTTCCTTGTAAAAACACTTTTGATTTTCAGAATAAAAATTTCAGAATTATAGCAGTAAGTATTATGCTGTAAAAAGAAAATTCTTTAGTGCTGTCCTAGGAGAGCAAACTAAAGCTGGTCTTAGGAGCTTTCTTAAGAGTGAGACAGCAGGAAAAAAACCCTGAAACAATAAAAGCAAACTAAACCAAGCAAATAATCAAGCAAAAACTCTATTAAAATTATTACATGTTCCTGATTGCTTGATAATAATTGACATTAATATAAATAGAAAAGGAATTGAAAAATAGAATTCTTAAAGGGAAAAGCAATTTCAGAGAAACAGACTTACATTGGTTCAACACCCAATAATGGGGAAATGAGAGACACAGTTGTAATAGTGATGGTAGGACGGAGTGAGACCTTTATGTGCTTCAGTTATTCCTACTGTATTTTATGGAGGGATCCATACACAGAACAGATGATGGCTGTATCTGAATGCAAGGTGGAAACAGCTCTTTGCTAGAGGAGATGTGGAAAGAATGCTTGAATAATTTCTTTAAATTATTTTTAAAGAAAACAAAAGTGCAGAATCAAGTTTATTACCTGTAATGCTTCCCTCAGAAAATGCAGACTACTTTCATTTCCCATGAAAATATGTTTTGTGATATTCAACTAATGCACAAAAAAGATGTTCACATTTTGATCATATCACCAAGGGCTAAAATCCTAATTGTATTTCTTACAGATTGTAAAGACTGCCATAATAATAACACATACTTAATACAAAAGCATGAGGGTCAGAATGTATTTGTATGTCCTCTTACAATACAAAAACCTCCAGATGTTTCTTTTACACACTGAGTTCCACTTCTTCTTTAAGGCAGAAAAGAGAACAAGGTGAAGTCTGTGTGTGAACAGTCCACAGTCAGTCATCCAGCTGGCACAGCAAGGCCACACCTCTCTTGATCCAGTGCTGGACTGGCTGGTCCGTGTTGAGCCTCAACGCGATGACAAAGTTTGTGGAATGCCCAGTGGTGGACAGGATCCCTTTGCGCTCACTTGTCTTGTAGAGTGGGCAAACATAGGCATTAGACTTCTTTATGTCCGATTTTACAGCTTCAAAAAAACCCAAAATAATGCGTTACACTCAGCAGATCTATTGGTGGACACAAAATCTACATGCAAGTGTTAACTATTTACAGTAACATCTTTAAAGGTCAATAAAAATGCAAAATAGTTTTGTGAGCAACAGAGTAAAATTATCCAGCTTCTTCCTGTTGTGTTTTCTTGTGTGGTTTGTTTTGTTCTTAAATCCAACTAATTTAGCTAAAATTTATTCTATTTATTATTTATAATACTCAAAGACACATTAAAATCTGAATAGTTACCTAGTTAATACATAGTTTATACATGAGTTTTTCACAGCTCTACAAGTCTGGTCTAGTTGCCAGAGAACCTAACTGCAATTCAAGTCATCTGAGATCCAAGGACAGAACTCTGCAGGAACTCCTTGTACTCCCAGACTGCTTGCACAGAACTTGTGCAAAGCATAAAATCATGCAGGTCTGAGAAAAGTCATCCAAGCTCAAGAGAAGGCACAGGCAGAAAAGTGGCAAATTTTAATACTGCCTATTTGCTAACACTGCAGTTGCAGCAGTTGCATTAGTAAGTCCTGATTTTGAGCATAAATAAAAACAGGGATTTACTCTTCTCAATCAAAGGAAACAGGAGTTGTGAAAATTCTCTTACCAGTAGGAAAGACAGCTATCAAAGAGCTTAAAATAACCTGAGCAAACCCTGCTAAATCACATAAGGTAAAACAATTAGTTCATGTAAGTCAGTCAAAAGTTCTCCTCAGTGATCTTCAGTAAAAAAAGGCAACCACTGTTGCAATTTCTTGTTGAATAGCTCACACATCAGAGAAATCATACTCACTTGGCTTTATCCAAATGATTGGCATGGCATCGAAGAGCACTTTGGGAAACTGCTCGGTTAACATTCCCCTGGAGAGAGAAAGCAACAAAGTAATTATTTGTGGCTTGAGGGGTTTGGTGGGTGTTTTTTGGTTGTTGTTTGTTTTTTCTTCCCCACTTTCCATGCATGAAAGAGTACTTAATTTACTGAATTTGGTGTGCTATTTCAATAATATGAAAATTATCACTTAAATTATTTAAACCAGTCTTGTTTGAGCACTGAAAAAAGCTTTCCAGAACCACAGTAAAACACTTGGCTACTGACTTGGTCCTGTCCCAGCGAGCTCCGTCTAAAAATAATCCGTGGATATAAACACCGTCCTCTGGTGCAGTATCTGCAGTATCCTGAGGAATAACCTGTGGGAAATAAGTTGTTCCAAGTCACTTAACTCTCACAGTTCTTTGCTTTTTGAGCTATTATGCCAATTGCTCATTTTCAGAACAAACCAAAATATAATAGAGTAGTGGAGAATAATATAGTAAGGTTTCCTTTCAGTGCTACTTTTATACATATCTGTAGAGATAGCTGACTTCTTGGGGCTTGTTAATTACCTTCTTGTACATTATCAAATGAGGCTTTAATCACACAGAAAAATATACACCAAACAGATATGCTGTTTTCTTGAGTGGAGTTCTGTGTCCAGTGATAGAATTACTTTTAATCACTTTCAGAATACCTCTTCTACAGCAGTTAGAAGTTTAGCCTGCCACTCTTACCAAATATGTCTTCAGACTGCTGTCAGTTGCAAAATGAACCTTCCAGACAGGATTTATTTATCTTACCACAACATCTGGACTCAGATTAATAAAATACTAATTTATAGTTTATCCTTACCTCAAATTCATATCCTAGAAGGTCAATAGGGATCCTGTGCTTCCTAGCATAGTTCTGCATGGCTCCAGTTAGGAAAGCTTGAGTGAAATAGAATCCTGACAGCCAAAAAACAGCAGGCTTCCCTAATTCATACCAGTCCTGGAGAGAGGAAAGCAATACATTGAACAATCAGAAAGAGAGGAATCATAATCTTTGACTATTTTTTATAGAATTGTAGTCAGAAAATCTAAACAAAGCCTATCACTCCTTTCCCAATAAAGACAAACTATATGCAAAAATAGATTGAACAGTTGGGAGCACTACCACTTGTACATTACCTGTAGAAACTTCAGCCTTGCCAGCAAATCGACAACATAGCTCCCTAAGGGTTTTAGACTCGGGTATGAATGCTGTGCCCACTTCTCAGGAACTTTTCCAACAAGGAGACTGCCAGACAGAGCCTCAAGGTCAGCATCCATAACAACCAGTCCTTTAATGGCTTTCTTCAGGTTAATTAGTGTAATGCGAATAGTTCGGATTAAACTAGAATTAAAAAAAATACAACAGTTTTCATACATTCTGCATGTGATTTGTTAAACATGACTAAGTCATTGGAAATAAAGTAAAAGTGGATTATGGAGGCATCTATAGTACTTTTATAGCTTTTTTTATCTATCTAGATATCTGCAGAATAAGCCATGTCTGTAAAGTTATGGATTTGTGCATTAGTGCAGATTTACTTAAGACTGTGAAAATTAGGCATAGGGAAAAAAGCATCAGAAAAAGGGGAAAAAATTTCAAACAGAAACACATGAGAAAATTAAGAAATAAACAGAAATATCTCCATTACAAAAAATACTCCATAAACTATAACTATGCATGTAGAGTTTCTAACTCCTTTACCCTACAGGTCAGAAATATGAGGAAAATAAAATAAAATGAGGGTAAAGATGGTGAAAGGGAAGGTAAAGTTTATATATATATATATTAAATTCCCTTTTCCCTCATACTCCTTTCTTTTCTATTTCTGTTAATTTTGCCACTTCATTTATCCTGACATCTATCCTGCACTGACTCTCCACAAGGAGCAAGGGTGTTTGGACTGCAGATATCACTGCAGGCAATTAGAAGGGAACGAAAAAAATATTTCACACACCACAGGGCTTACAGAATATGATTTGCAAGAAATATTTTTCTGCAAATGGAATGATTTCTGGTAAATTTATTAAATTAAAATGTTCTTACTTGTTAAATCTTTCCATTTCTTGCACCAGCACAGTGTTCATACTCTCTTCATATTTCACAGGATATTTAATCAGGCAACTTTCAATGTCAAAATCCTTTGGAAGCTGTAAAAGACAAGACATTTGGAAATCATTCCATATATCATTATGATTTTATATCTTAAAGGTGTGCAAATGTGAAAAATTGCAGAGCAATAGAAACCACTAAACTTTCTGACTACTATCTTAGCAATACAGGATTCAGTAGTTCAATCTAAATAAAAATTTGGGGATTTTAATGTTCATTTTTTTAAAAAAAACACCTAGAATTTTTAATATAATGAAAAGTTATTAATATGTTTCTATTTATTTATTTAAATTTGTTCATGTGTATGAATCAACTGTTCTTCCAAGTTCTTTTTGCTCTTGTTTCTCTCTTTGTTCTGTCTTCTGCCTATTTAATAAAATTTCTTTCAGCTGAAACAGCTGTGGTCTGTTACAGCCGCACAAATTCTTACTTTTACGTTGCACTAAATTCCTTTCAGAATGCTTTTCTTTCAACATGAAATCTACTTTACACTGAAGATTCTAATTAAGGATTTTCTGCTTTGTAAAAAGATAAATTGAAGTAATTTGTATATACAGTACCTTGCTGAGAATATCATCTGCAATTGCATAAAGAGTGCTGTCACCACCCCCAGAAGTTCCCTGAGTGCCTCCTCCTTGTGTTAAAAGCAGAGATTCAAAGATGGTCTTAGTTTGCTGAAGATCTTTAGCAATATCCACATTTTCATGCAAGCCAAATACCTCTGGATGCTGAGTAAAAGGAAGATTCTAGGACAAAATAAAAAAAAGTCTGAGTGACAAAGTAGGAAGAATCTGATACAAGGTCTCTCTAAGAAGTCAAGTGAAAAACTACCACTGACTTCAAGTGCAGGTGAGTGAGGACCTTAGTGGCAGGTATTTGCAGACAGAATTACTGGTGATAGTCACCACCTCTCATACAGAAAGTAATTTCCAAAGAATTCTCAATTATCTATGCTACACATCCTCCTATCTACTTACTGATCCCCTCTCCAAAACATCTGAGATAATGGCAAGGATCATACAAGGATGCCAGGCAAGAACCTGAGCACACAATTAATTGTGATGCAAAACTACCTCTTTAAGCCTTGAAGGATTGATTTCTTAGCACATTATTGTAACTGCAAAATCTTGCTGCTACTTTTTACCTTAATAAACTCAATGTACTCCTCATATGTGCCTTTGGGTGGAGCGTGGTAGTTGCCACTGGGAGAAAAAGTGTAACGAGGATTTTCAATTATATCTGGGTTATAGAAGTCATCCAGCATTGTCAGCAGCAAACGTCTGTCCCAGTCATCTGTCACTCGACCTCCATAGTTACACTCACCAGTCAGGTAAGAAATAGCTTCAAAAGGAACATGGTTATACTCATTGATGAATAACTGAAACAGAAATAAGAGCAATTCCAGAGACTTGCAGTATCTGCTAAACAGCATTGTGACCTAACAGACTAAAAGGCTGGAAGCCATAGCATGTGTAAGCTGCAGTTTATGGAGTTTTCTTCCTAGGTGGAAGA